TTGGTTGGTTGGTTGGTTGGTTGGTTGATTTCATTTACCCTGACCCCTCGCAAAAAGCGATATGCAGGCTACAACTACTTTCTAAATACATGCTGATTGATCCCTGAGATTGTTCCAAACTTCCTGAACAGTGAACTTTGAGCCTCACCTGGTAAAGCCTGTCGTGGCCTTGTTGCCGTTTGTAGCATTAGGCTGCCCTCATGGCGCGGCTGTAATGGATTTGCGAATGAGACAGACAACAAGTGTCCGGTTTTGGCTGCATCCCAGCTAGGAACCGGGATAATGCGGGTAATGCTGAAGTCAAGAATCTGGACAATGACTTTGTTGTTGATACAGCTTTGTTACGAGTTCGAGCTGAGCGTTTCCTTGCCTTTGTCTCGAGCTGGAACGGTGACGGTTTATTGTGAAATCGGCGGTGAAGATCTTCCATTGTTAGTATAGGTCTGGTAGGAATGATAGATTTTCGGGGTTTAGAAATCAATCGAGGTGAGGTTTTAGGAGGATGCCGAAGGACCGATGCATAGGTTGGTTGGTGGCTATTTGGCGGGAAAGTTCTAGTTGAAGTCGGATAAGGAGGCTGAGGAGAGTAGGTTGGTGGAGGTAAATGCGATTCCGGGTCGGTTGTAGTGGATAGCGGTTGAGCGCGGGAGTCCAGGTTAGCATTTGAACGATTCTCTGCTGTCGTAGATACCGTTGGTGTCAATTCGGTTTGTGTCTGGGTGCTAGCGTCGGTAGTTGTCTTCTCGAGTTGTTCGCTATTCGAAGGAAGATAAGGGCTGGGAGCCGACTGTCTAGGCGGAGGGGATGCGTCGGCTGAAGGGGGGAGCGCGTCCGCGGATTCGAGGTGTGGTTTCAAGTCATTGTAGATGACCTGCCATATACAGTCTGCTATGTGTAGTTGCTGCGTCTCCTGAAGAGGTACGCGCCGGAAGTTCTCGAGGCGTTTAGCTGACTGGCAGGCAAAACAGCAAGCCAGGCCGCCGACGCCACTTGGGTATGGTTGGTAGTGAAAGCCGTTCTGGGCCAGTTGAAGTGGAGTGACGCCATTTAGCACTTGTCCTTGGAACGACAAAGCTCTGGCAGCGATGGTGGAGTAGGTGGTCGATATGAAGAACTTCTCGTGGACGATACGTTGCGGGGTAGGTCGCTCGTGTGGAGTGGCGGGAGTGGCGGGAGTTGCGGATTTAGAGAGAGAGGATGGTCGGCGGAGGGTTGGGAGCGGCTTCCTGCCTGCCCCGGGGTCTGGAAGCTGAGGATGCATCAAGTCCCCCTCTTCGATTTTCAACGTCGATGCGTGCGTTCGTTCCTCTGCCCCAATGCTACAGTGATGATGATGATGATGATGATGATGATGATGATTTCATTTACCCTGTCCCCTCGCGAACGATCCCAATGCTACAGTGCCACCTTAGTGCACACTGAAATTCAAAACCGGCGCCCGGGTCTTGTATCCTTGAATTGTTCCCTCAACCCTAACACCGTAATCCGCTAAACTACTTTTGG